GGACTTTTTTTTATAAGTTGGAATTTTAAAACCCTATGACAAATGTAACTGAAGTTAAAAACAGCAGTGTGTTCTCTAGTTTCCTGTTTCCAGAAAGCTGCCCAGGTTTTGGGAGCTTTTCTGTTGGTTTTAGTTCTTTTTGTTGTTGTTCTCTTTGTTTTTGCTAGGGGATACCTGAAGCTTTGTTTCTTTTCAGTCTAAAACTTCTCTCAACCCCTGACAAATTGGTACTTTTGAATGAGAAAACATTCTGCTGTGGAATCTCCAGTTGGCTGTACATGTGTGCCCTCACATGGCAGAAGTTAAAGTAGATAACCTGACAAAAAACAGAGTGCATTAAAATAAGCCGGCAAAACGACCAAGTTTCTGCATCTTAGTTTTACACAGATTTGTACTGGGTAACTCCTCAGATTGCTATTGGTGACCATGAGGAAAGCCTTGGAACCCATCCTAACTGCCAACTGCCAGCTCTCTGCACAGGGCAGAAACACCTCAGAAACCAGTATGAGTTATTAAACACACCTGAATACCACTAAAGCATAGGGTCTGCTGTTCTGCTACACCAGCTGCCACCTTAATCAGTCTAGATGTGTGGAGTTATTAACCATTTATATGACTATTTTATCTATTCCATAATATTAGGAGAATCTTTTTTCAGACTCACAAACTTGGAAATAGTAAATTTTAAAAGGGCTTAGTCAGAAATACGGTCTGACATTTATCACTAGGTTTCCTACAGGCACAGAAGGGGACATTAGTGAAGTCCTGAAAGTACGAAAATAAACAACTTCCACATAGCTCTGGTAGGGAGTCAGCAAGAGGAAAAAAATAACCTTCAGACCACTGTTAATGAGAATAGCAATCAAAGGAGAACACGCTAGTTCTTTATAAGTCACCATTGCTAGGGCACTGTGAAGAATGACAACACACACTTGTGTTAATGTACACTGCTCCAAAAGTTAGGCCTCCTATTTATTCCCATAGAAACAGATACTAAAATAACACCATTTGATAGAGAAAATGCTCAGATACAAAACACTATTTTTTTCCCCAATGCAGTCACCACCATTAGCTGTGCATTTTTGCTTGCAGTGAACAAGAGCCTGCATGCTGAGCTCAAAAACCTGTAGGAGCCCAGTTGTCCCAGTGTTTCACAGCTGCTATGATGATGTCATTGCTGAAATGCTATGCCTACTGCTTCATTGTGCACACATCTTCTGTTTGGTCTCCAGAAACATTCAGCTAGCATCAATGGATATCAGTGGGTGCCATTTTTTCCACACGAAGGAATTCAAAATCACACATTTGCTTCAGATGCACGTCTGTGTCAAATGCCATTTTGTCAGACTACCCCTCTGCTGCCGTCTGTCACACAGCAACATGTAACAAAATATTGTCGGGGAAGGTTCAACCCCTACTTCCATACCAACATCCACCTCTGACATCACAGGCCAACTTTACAAAAATAGGACACTTGACTATCAGCCCTCATACACCGCTGCACTGATAGGGTCTCCTCTTTAGCACTCATCATACAGAAATACAGACCTTTCAGGGTGGGCGAGCCTAGAAGCCCACCACAACTGCAGTGCATTTGCCACACACACAGACACCAGCAGACTGCTGAAACTGATGGCTCTGCCTGGCAGCCAAGCTGAGGCAAAACAAATGGGAGCAGGCAGGAGCAGGGCTGTGTGAAGCACGAAGTTGAGTGTACAATAGTTCAAGGACTGAGGACAGTCATGACCTGAAGATCAGGCTACATTTTAGCAATAATCCATACCCAGGTCTTTACGAGCTGTATTAAGATGACTAAAGGAGGGAAGATTCAGGTTGGACAGCAGGGAGAAGTTTTTTACTATGAGTGGTGAGGTGCTGGAACAGCTGCCCAGAAAGGTTGTGGATGCCCTTGTGGAGGTGCTCAAGGCCAGGTTGGATGGGACCCTGGGCAGCCTGTTCTGGTATTAAATGGGAAGGTTGATGACCCTGCATGTGGCAGCAGGGTTGGATCTTTATGATCCTTGAGAACCCTTCCAACCCAAGCCATTCTATGATTCTGTGATAATTCTATGACTGGGGAACCAGGAGACAAGACTAGGGGCCCAACTTTGTGCAAATGCAGGAAACAGCTTTGGGTATACAGGAACTTCATACTATCGTTGCTCTCAGTTTTTCCCCAGCATGCACGTTACCCATGTCATACAGCTATCCAGATTGATACAGTACCCCTTTTACTACAGTAGAAAAGCTCGTCTTTGTTGAATCAACACAAAAACTGATCCAAAACAATCACAAATCCTTACGTACCAGAAACATGGGAGACAATAACAACTGGAATCAGCACTAACCAGCACCTAGCTCCAGCACTCCACTCAGCTCATTCTCATTCTTTCCTCCTGAAAAGTAACCATGAGTTCTTGGAAGGATTGGTTACAGCCATCCCATCCCCACAGCTAATGGGTGTAATTAGCCCACAGCTGATACCAACTGTTGTGGGTGAACACAGCTGTCAGCTAAGCTTCACTCAGCCACTCACTCACTCTTAGCTCCCAAAAATGGTGGGAAGGAAAAAGAGAATGGGAAGAATTAAAGTTTAATAGATATAACAAAAATTGCATGCAAGTAAATTAAAATAAAGGACCCTCTCAATACTTCCCACCAGCAGGCAGGTTTCCTGAAAAATGGCTCATCACATAGAATTCTTCCTTGGGAAGACAAATGCCATAATCCTGAACAACCCCCTCCTCCTCTTTACCCCAGGTTTTATTGCTGAGCTCAACATTATGTGGTATGGGATATCTGTTTGGAGTCATCTGTTCTGCTGTGTCCCTGGCAGCTTCTCGCTGGTGGGGTATTGTGAGATACAGAGAAACCTGGACACTGTCTAGCACTGCTCAGCAACAGGGAAGTCATCAGTGAATTACCTGCACTGCTTTGGTCACAGATCCAAAGCATAGCATTACACAGGTTAGTATAAATAACTCCAGCCAAAACCAGTACAATAATGAAGCCAGAACTTAATCAGAGAGAATCAAGCCCAAGTCTCCTTAAAATAACTGGGGAAAGGATGTCAGTGGAATAGAGATTTTGTGCCTGGACTTTATCTGTAGGATATATCTGATGAGTTTTAGTTCATGAGCAAAAAACATGCCAATAGGAAAAGATGCCTGTCAAGCTCATTCTAGTTTTGAAGAACTCCTGTAAGATTGGGGCAGTAGTGTAGGGATACCAAAACATCTGCCTAAAGTTAAGTCTCTGTTCCTTTCTGCATCCCTTAGCTGAAAGGCTTGTGTAGCAGAAAATGCTCAGGAAACAGCAGGGTGCTGCACACAGATCAATTCTCAGCTTGGCAAAGTCATTGTGGACAAACAAAAATTCACAACAGGCACAGATGTGACATGCTTTCCTAGACTTAAACTCCTCAGCGCTGTTCAAATGGTGTCTTTGAGAAGTCTGACCCTTAGCAATGAAACACAGTCAGGAAGTGAGAGCTATGGATTAACCCTGTAGCTACAGAGGCTCCACCATCCATGTGGTACCCAAATCTCTTTTTCTACAGTAACTTCAGAAAATCTTGCCAGATGGTGTGATATCAGGTCTCATAGCACTGCATGGGCATGGCTCGCATGGCTCCATACCACAGCATCACATTTTAAGGGCAATTTATGACCTTGTTTCCATATCAAAACTTGTTTTTTTCTGAAAGAGAGGTTTCCTCAGAGCATGAGCAAAATCTAGCTTTTGTGTAGATGGGGCCAACTCCACTGGCTTAAAGTACAGTCACACACCCACCTAGATGAGATTCTCTCTTCTACCAGCATAAGTACCTATTGCCTCTCTGCCAAAATCTGCCATGCTCTAGCTATACCTGGCTAAAATGCTCAGTCCTGTCACCCAAAATAATTATCATCTGCTGATTTATACCGTACTTATCTTTCTCTATAGGAGCATATCTTGCTTTGGCTTGCTTCTGTTTCATGTGAAGAGGAGAAAGCGAACCTACAATTTACATCAGGCTGCATTTAGGCAGAAGCACAAGCTCTCAGGAGAGTCCCTTTCCAACTAAGGACATTTACATCCTGCTTCCTGCATGCTGTGTCTTAATGCACTTGCTAAGCCATGTACACTTCAAATGTATTTCAGAACTGGGCATTATTATGTGGCAGTCAGGCGACCTGAAATCTCTGCCACCACATGGCCTTGACTGGCCCTTCTCTTTCCTCCCTTTTTTTTTTTTTTCCTCTTTTTAAATTAAAATCTTTCCTAAGATCTTCTCTTTCAGAGGATACTTCACAGACCAGCTCTGCTTCTGTGTGATGCAGCCATCATTCCTGCTGCCTCATCGATAACACATGCATAGCTGTAAGCAAACCATGGCATTAATCCTTAGTTAAAACAACAATTTCTCAAAACGTTTTAGGACTGCTAAAGGCTCATACAGAGCGAAAGGATGAAGGCAGGAGGCAAAAGCAGAAAGCTTGTCCTACTCACCCACATGGACTGTAGCAAGAAGCAGCCTTCTTGCCTGCTTGCTCTGAGCTGCAGCTTGATGCTAGCAGGTCTGGGTTCTGCAATGCTTTCAGTTACACCAGACATGTCCAACCTGAGACCCACAGGCAACAACACAACTCAGCACAGTTTGCAAGGCAGCTCACCCCCTACCCTCTGCCATCATGGTGGTAGTTCAACCTCAGGCTCCTTCCCTTCACTCATGCTGCCACATCTGATACCTTCATAAAGGCAGGAACTGAAAAAAAAGTCTGTCTCTCAGCAAAAGCTCTTAAAAAAAGCCAAAACTCAAACACACTCTACCATACAAACTAGTTAAGTGATAGCAAACCTGACTGCAAAAACACCAAAACTGCTTACTGATAATGAATTTATTTGGCAGCATTTGGGAAGCATAACAGATATAATGCATCCTTGGGGCAATTGGGCAGACCAACACAACAGGAAGATCTGCACAATGAAAAGGTGCTATAAGGAAAAAGACTGCTTACCCATATAGAAGATTCCAGGTTCACAGACAAAAGCTCCACCAGCAAGAGACCCTTCCCCTGTGGCAGTCAGCCCTTAAATGGGGTCTAGTGGAGGTGCAGCCAGGCTCCACCCCTTCGGTCACAGCTGAATCGCCTTCACCTGTGCTCCCATGGCTGAGTGCTTGCCTCAGGTGAGCAATCAGTGGTTCAGGCTATGACTCAACAGTTCCCATACAATCCAGTTAAAAAAATGGATTTTTCTTCTCACCAGATTGTAGTGAGGTGAACTGAAGCAACAAAAAAAAAATCTATTGAAAGAAATTTGGAGAGTAGAGCTGCTAATTTCAAATGCTATGCTTTGGCGATAGGTGAAAGTAGTGATGCTACAGACATGGCTTAACTTGCCATTTTCATTAGAGGCATTGATAACAAATATAATGTTGCTGAAGAAATGGCTGCTGCGGTGCCACTGGAAGACACAACTAAATCTCTTGATATGTATAAAGTGGTAAAAATTACATTAAAGCAGTTTTCTTTAGCCCTTTTCAACACACCTGGTATAGCTACTGATAGTTACTGAATGATCGTACAGCTGGTGATTCTATGATTCTATGGTGCCCCAGTGATGGTTGGTAAAAAAGAGGAACTTATAAAATTAATAGAAGATGGTGCAATTGCCACTGGCATCTCACATTTGATGAAATAGCACTGCATCATACATCCAGAAAAATAATGTGTGAAAGCCATAAAAATGGATAATGCCATGCAAATCATCATCAGAGCTGAGAATTTTGTGAAGTCCAATGAATTGAATCATTGCCAGTTCCAGGAGTTCCTTAAAAGTGTGCGTGCTGGTAATAAGAACATCATTTACTTTTCGGAAGGAAGGTGGCTGAGTCAGGGTCAAGTGCTAAAAAGATTTTATGATTTGAGAAATGAAACCAAGTCATTTACGGAATCAAAAGGAAAATTTGTGCCAGAAGTTGAAGATGAAAAGTGCTCACAGTTTTAGAATTTTTGGTGGATTTGAACGCTCATATAGATGAGTTAAACATGTGTCTTCTAGGTGAAAATCAACCTATCTGTGCTACGTTTGAAGCTGTAACAGAGTTCAAAATGAAACTTAAAGTATGGCAAACTCAAGTAATGGCAAATAATTTCATGCATTTTGATGTGTTGGCTAAACACAGCCCTATGAACAGTGAAAAACATGCAGCTGTGCTTTCAGTTTTGATAAAGGAATTTGAGAATAGATTTCAAGATTTCAAAAAATATATATATTTTTTTGTATATCCACAACTCCTTTTTCAGTACGAATAAATACACTGCCTGCACATTTTCACATGCAATGTGTAGACTTGCGAGCAGACATTCAACTCAAAAACATTTTATCATGTCTCTTCCCCAGCCTTCTGTAAGATCTATTTTAGCAGAGAAAGATATCCCATGTTTCACAACCATGCCTTATTCCTGTCCTTGCTTTCTGGCAGTACATCTGTTTGTGAACAACTGTTTCAAGGCTGATTCACAGAAAGAGTAATATTTCAATAAAAACCTGTGATGAATACCTTGAGAGCTCACTGAAAATTGCAACCACTTGCACTGAACCAGAGACTGATGCATTAGTTTCACAAAAACAAGGTCAAATATCCCACTAGCCTTATGTATTTGATGCTGTTTTTTAACTTTCAATAAAAAATATATTAAAAAATGTTTTGTCACTTATATACATTAACTCAGTTATGTATTTTGTATGCAGCCCAAGACAATTTATCTTCTCTCAGTGCAGCTCGGGCAAGCCAAAAGGTTGGACACCCATGAGTTACATGAACCCCTTGAGAATTAGTCAGAAATGGTTCCAAAGAGGCTGCTACATTGTTTGAAAGAAGAAATATGGAGTTCCAGGAAGCACGTACTGTTTATAGATGCCTCCATAGTGCATTCTTAAAAGAAGTGAGGAGCCACATCTGGCTTAAACAGAATCACAGAATCACAGGGGCTGGAAGGGACCTCTGGAGATCATCTAGTCCAACCCTCCTGCTAAAACAGGTTCCCTACAGGAAAGCATCCAGGCAGATTCTGAATATGGCCAGAGAAGGAGACTCCACAACTTCTCTGGGCAGCCTGTTCCAGTGCTCTGTCACTCTCACAACCGAGTTCTTCCTCACGTTCAGATGGATCTTCCTGCGTTCCAGTTTTTGTTCACTGCCTCTTGTCCTGTCACTGCGCACCACTAAAAAGAGCCTGACCCCATCCATTTGACTCCTTTAACTTTAGATATTTATAAACAGTGCTGAGATCCCCTTTCAGCCTTCTCTTCTTCAGGCTGACAGTCCCAGCTCTTTCCTTATAAGTGAGGTGCTCCAGGCCCCTCATCCTCTTTGTGGCCATCCACCAGACTCTTTCTAGAAGTTCCCTGCCTTTCTTGAACTGAGGAGCCCAGAACTGGATACAGTACTTAACGTGTGCTCTCACCAGAGCAGAGTAGTGTGGGAGGATCATCTCCCTCAACCTGCTTTTTAATGTGCTCCAGGATACAGAGCCAGGCTCACCAGCACCTTGCAAACATGCGTGGCCCTTTGGTGACTTAGAAAACACAGTTGGCACACACAGAAAGCTGACAAGCTGTTGAGCAGAACTTCTCCTCTTCCTCTCTGTTCACTAAAACACTGTTGAAAATGGAAGAAAAGGAATAAGCATAGGGGAGACATGCTTGAAATTGGACAAGCCCAGGCTGTGCCTTGAAGACTTCACAGTAGCAGACAGAGATACTTAACATCATGTTAATACTCAGACTCATACCCTAATGAGAAGCCATAAGACATTATTTATTCATTCTAAACTAATTTGCTTCTGTGACGGTGAGACTGGACTACAGCTCCAGCAGAATCTTACTTTTCTCAAGTTGGTTTCACGGGAACGCTCTCCCAGTTGTAATGAGCTGCCTGTCTTCTGCCACTACAATCCAGTGAGAGAAGTAAGACCAGCTGAGAAATACTTTATACTTTGATCTGTCTCAACAAATCAGTTCAACAGCTCTAAAACAGAAACCCTGGGGAGAGGGAAGGGGAAGAGAAGTTCAAGCAGGGAAGTTTTAAATCTGTGTTTGATTTGTTTCAACCAGAGCTGTGGTAGTTAAAGAGTAGGAAAAAATATCGGATTTGTCCACCTTTTTTGAGCTTTCTTGGCTCTCCCAGGCTCCGCTGCACTCCAAACTTTGGACAACTTATCTTTGTTATCGGTGATAACAAAAAGAACAAGCACGTATATTTATATATAAAAGCCCATGGCATTTGAAAAGTCAGGTTCTATAACATGGCTGAGCTGGATTTCTCCTATTGCCAATTTATCATTAGCCCTGTTAACTACTACTTAGGAAAAAGAAAAATTAATTGAACTAAAATATACATTAAGAAAAGGCAGAGGGGGAACCACAAATCTTGCTTCTTGCCTTTGAAGTTAAGCTGCTCTGAATGAGCAAGGCATGAATCCTACCTAAGGGATTTATCCTGCACCTTCCTTTTCAATACTTGCTGTGAAGAATTCATTACAGCCTTGAGCACTGCCATACTGATGTCTCCTAACTTTAACATCAGCTTCAGAGAGAATATTTGTATTTTTCTTGCATTTCTTGCTGTTGTTTTATTTGTTGCTTGATAATTTGTTGCATGATCTTGGTCAAAGCTGTTCTCCCAAGTGAGTCCACCTGCTAAGAGCTGATGAAAATAACCTCCTTACACAGGGAATGCACTGTGAAACACCTGGGAAAGTCATTAGCAGGAATGTGGTGCTACTGAACAGCATTTTCCTACACGATCAGCAGTTCCCTGGAAAGAGGGTAGAAATGTTAAAATTTTCAGAAGCAAAGGAGAGAGATTTTAAAAAAAAAAAGCAGATTTCAGTCACAAAGCTCCACAATACCAACTCCCAAAACTATCCTCATTTTCCTACATATCAGTGCCACTACAGCTATTTCTAGATACTAGTATGTGTTAGAAGCTAAATCAGTGCACACAGAAGGGCACAGGTGTGCAAAGCAGTGATATCTCAATGAAGGCTCACAGCTGTAGCTCGCACTCACATTACTCTGTATGAAAGAAGGAGTTACAAGGGCTTTGTACGTCAGAGGGCAGTGTTGCTGCCCATCTATGTTTTATAAAGGATTGCTTGGATGCAACACACAAGTGGAACACTCAAAGGGACGTGCCAATTAAAATCATGTTAAAATCATGTTTGGTATCTAGTCTCTCATAACCAAAAGCGTACTAGCTAACCTGAGTGCCAGCAGCATGTAGGATAATTATGGTAAGGGGAAAATATATTTTCCTGTGTATAGGCTGTTTTTGTATTTTTAATACCACATTCCATTTCCAAGATCGTTTAGCTATGAAAACTGTTGTAAAGAAAAAAAAAATCAGTTTGAGAAATAGTGAATTTCAAGTCTACACAATTCAGAGCAAAATTCGGAGATGGAGACAAAGCTTCAAGTATAACTTTTCCCCTCCCCTGATTTGGATGGTGCTCCTTGGCAGCTGAGAAAGGACACGTGAGAAGGAGGAAATAAATAAAAATGAATGAATAAATTAAAGGCATTCTGAAGCAATACTCAATGAGCTAATTATTTACACTTGCCTTTGTTGGCATTATCATACATGCGCTGATAGCAGAGACGTTAGAAAACCGGAACATAACATGATTTTAATTATCTGGTTTTTCAGAAGGACTTAATGTCAGGCTAATGCAACTTCCGTATGTGCCCAGCCTATTTCTATAGCAACAGGATGGAAGTGAAAAAATGCTGCTAGGGCATACTGTAGCACCCAGTGCATTAAGCACAGGTATGTGCTGATGCTGCCCACCCCTGGCTTGCAGTCCACTGAGTGTCAAGTGTTGCAGCAGGCTGCTGTGTGGCATGCCTGCTGTGCTGGGACCACAAGCTTTGCAGGTGCCGGGCTGGCTCAGTCTGCACTGAGGCCACATCACTGCATGTCTGGGGTGTCGGCATCAGGCATTATTTGCAAATGAAGCGTGGATGTGACTGTAGCTGACAGACAGG